AAAAATGCGATAAGTTATGCAATGTCAATATAAGACCTTTCGCGTAGACTATTTCCTTTCACGTCAAATCACAAGGTATCCTTCAGCTCGAAGCCACATAGGCTAAGGACTTAAGATCTTTCACCGTTCCAATGGCCTTATGTGTATAAGGATCCGCACCGGAAATTCTGCATCGTCATGCAGTACACGGCCAAAGGCTGCAATCCCGTCTCTCTCTGTCTTCATGTACTTAGACTAATACTCAACGTACTAGCTAAGTCATGGCTTTCAAGGGAACGTCTTACCGCGATCATCATAATTTATAAGTTTTACTAACAGTTTAAGTTATAAGAAAACTTATAACTTTGCATCAACAATTCAACCTAGTAATTTTCACATGCTAAAGCTTTTAAGTACTTAGCAAAACTATAAATCACGCAACAACAAACCTCACTTGTAATTCAATTAAACACGCAACAAGCATCACCGAGACTCACCTTTGACTTAGAGAAAGGTCGCGGTTTTGCCCAAGGTTTCTTACTCTCAATTTGCCTTAGACTTCTACGAATGGCTTTGCCTTAGCCTTTGAGCTAAAAATCTGTTCCAAAGGTTCACGAATTACTAAGGCAAGACTTAGAATCTTCGCATGGAAAATTAGATGGGAACGCCCACGGATCATATCTAGTTTAGAACGGAACCTGCTGCAACCCTCTCTATATCTTTTGGAGCTTAGCCGAAGTTGAACCTACGAATTTGAGATCAGTCGAGCCATCGGATCAAGAACTAAGATTAGATTCATGATCAGCACGAAAAATCACTTGGAAAATGGTAAGGTTCGATCACGGAAAACTTACCCTAAGTTTTCCCAAACCTGCTCGACAAGGCTCGCGGCGAAACTACTCTAGGGTTCACGGTGGACTAGAAAATGGACTACTCGGTTCGGATGGGACGATCACGAACTAGGCTACCGTTTGCAATGAAAGTTTACGGTGAAAAGAAGTTATGTTCGGACAAGGCAGAAATTCTCGTGTCTCCTGCTTACTAGGTCGGGCCGACCTTTAAATAGGCGCGCCCAAGCAGGTGAAGCAGCTGGACAGCTCACGGCCACTTGTCCATTCTTCATCCGCGGGTAACGTCCTAGGCTCGACACGAGGTGGTGATGATACCTAAGACCAGGCGTGTGCGCATCACGCACTGGCGTGTGGTCGACACACTCGGGCATGACCCAGGCACGGGCTTACTCACGATCTACCCACGACCAGAGCAAGCACCCTGCTCGATCACTAAGCAGCCTAGCACGCTGCTTACCTTGGCTTCTGCTGGGTCATTGTGCGGGTCATTACACTAAGGTATGTTGTTGACCGTCATTGATGAAGAAAAGCTTAAGGGACCTTCTCTTTCCATGAAGGCAAATACTGCGCTTTGCATTCTTTGTAGATATGATCCTTCAAACTATAATCCTTACATAAATTTTGTTTCCTTTTCAAAGCAAAGAGAAGTAACTGTCTTGATATGTTAGCTTTTGCAACATAAAGAGACGTCTCTCAAAAAGAAAACGATGACAATATTGTTTGCATTGAAAAGTTAGATAATTTTACTCTTCGGCTGAACTTTAGTGTTGTCCTTAAAATCGTGAAGAATTCCTTCTTTAGGAAGATATAAGTCTCATACCCAAACATATACTCTCTTTAGATTTACCCTTTGTTAGAATCGATATGTTTTAGATCCTAACGGAAAAGAAAATGAATATGATCATAACTATAAGTGGCCTTTGTGATTAGTTGCGCATTGACAAACTGATTTTCTGTTCTTCTTTCAGGTGACATAACCAAGGAAGAGTCTAAAGTGTCTACCTCGAAGTTTATGGTTTGAGAAAGATTGAGGAGAAGATTGAGAAAAATTATAGTAACGAACACTTGAGCAAAATTAACTAAATAAAAAAATATTGAAAAAAATTATAGTAACGACACTTGAGCATAATAACCTCAAAATGCTTCACACATTAATTTATCTATCGAAATCGAATTCTTATCTTATAAATACTCAAATACCAAAATTACCCCTGCAAATGTATAAGAATTACATTTAGAAACCCATAAAAAAAATCAACTTTTTTAGTACCTCTTTTGACCAAAAAAGAAAGATAAAACTCTCTGGGCGCCACCGCATCGCCGCCGTCGCCTGAAACCGTCGTCGTCGTCATCGCACAATCTATTTCAGGTGAGTTTTCATTCTTTCCTGATTCAGTGTCACAGATTCATTTTTTTCAGTTTAGCTTACTGATTCGTTAATATATGATGGATCTCACTACGTTTCCTGATTGTAAATCATCATTTCGATCTTCCACTAGTTCTTAAGCATCATTTGATTCAGAAACGTAATAACAAAGATGGATGTGTGACCAATTGAGCTGGTTTTGATTGCTGATTGTTACTTTGTATTCCTTATGAGAAAAAGAGATCGACGAATTTGGACTTACACAGGAATGGCGAACAAGATTGCGATGTTTCTCTCAGAAGCAATGAACAGCAACGCTGTAATAAACACGTGTCTAGGAGTATCGTTTGTTGTTTTGGGATTGAGATCTGATAAACAGCAAAATCATGTCGAGGCCTTACAGGAGCAGAAGGAATCGCTCTTCAAGTCTAACAAGGAAATGAAAGTCACAATGTGGGAGTGGAAACAGCAACTCTTTGCTGAAGCAGCCTCTGCTGGTGATTCCGCGGTTGTTCCTCTGTCCGCTCTTAAGGCCATCTATGGCGAGGTCACCACGGCCTCTCAATCTGGTAATTACTCTTCAGTTTGAGTGGTTTATGTATGATTAGGGACCTCTCTGTTTGATACATCTGGTGCTTGTGTGGTGTATAAACACAAACTAGGGAAGCTTTTTGGGTTGATAAAGAAACCCGTTACACTTATCGAATACAAAGAAAAATGGGGTTAGAATCAATATGGTTTAGACCCTAACGGGAAAGGGAATGGATATGATCGTGATTAGAAGTGGCCTTTGTGATTAGCTTGAACAATCACTAACTGGTTGTATGATCTTTGTTCCAGGTGACACAGCCAAGGAAGAGTCTAAAGGTTCTACCCCAACGATCATGGTTTGAGAGAGATTAAGGAGAAGATACTTTGTTAAAATTTTCGGTAGGTTCGTTTCACTTAAAGATTAGCATTTAGTCTCATCATTTGCATTTGTAAACTAGTTTTGGCATCAATTGTCTGTTGTTTTGATCCTTTTTTTTTGGTTCCTACTAAACAAATCTCTTAAAATAAGCTAGAAACTCTTATGGGGGTCGATTGATTACTCAAATAAACTAAAATTAAACATGGTGATCAAGTTGATCCCTAAAGTTATAGCATCCTT